ATTACACTCGGAAATATTAATTGTAGGCCAAACAAAAAAATACGTGTTTTCTTTTTTACGGAATTTTTTTCGGAAAGGAATTGTCAAAATAATAGGATCGTATAGGTCAAAGCATGAAAATTTCTGCAAGAAGGATCAACATAATTTTTTACTGCAATTTTTTTATGTTTATTAATTATTTTTACATTTCTACATTATTCCAAAGATCGTTCTTTGATTATCGTGCAACAGCAACTCAGATTCACGCCGAGATACCGAGAAAGCATTTCCAGCGTAATAACATCGTCGATCGCGCGAGCTAAGTAAGAGCGACAAGGAGGGAGTAATATTCTCCCTCTCGCTCGGCACTGCCGAGCGCTGCCAACACACCGATAGACCGAGCGTCACTCTGTGTGCGCAGTGGAGGGGGGCGCATGCGCGAAAAACCGGGCCGGATTCACATCACTGCTCTGCGGGGCTTTATGGCCCCCCGCTTCCTCCGTCCCTCGGAACCTGGGAAGGAGGGACGGGTCTGCTCCTGCCTCGAGTACGCCGTCCGTACTGTCCCGGGGCCGGGGAACAGGCGGAGCAGCGTGAACGACGTTGCCCCCCGGAACCTGGGGAGGGGAGGCTGGTCGTCCGCCCTCACTGTCTGATGAGGGGAGAGAGGCGGCTCTTGCTTCCTCCCTCATCCTTTCGTCCTCTTCTTTTTGCGCCATTACGGCGTTGCAAAAGGAGGAGAACGCCTTCCATTTATTCTGGCTCGTTTCTCCCATGCCGGTCGTCATCGCGATGATCGCCGACAGGGAGAGATCCTCTCCCACTGCTGTCCGGAGGGCACGGCGCTCTTCTGCCCACGCTGGACAGAATTCCAGCGTGTGCTGCGCCGTGTCCACCCTCTCCGGACAATGGTGGCAGCGCGTGGTGCGCTCTTTCCCGATGTCATGCAGGTACTTACCAAAACAACCATGGCCTGTCAGTACCTGCACAACGTGGAAGGCGAGCTCCTTGTCCTCCCGCCTTCCATCTACTCCTCGAACACCGGGTGAACGGCATCTATGACCCTTCTCCCAAACTCTTGCTGGAAGGCCCAATCCTTCCAGCGCGGGAGAAGGGTCGCCCTCGCGTTTTGCCTCAACGTCTTCCTGATGTCTGGGGTAACTACCCCCAGCCGTTCCCTGACCAGGCATGCCCCCTCGTAGACTTCGGCATACGACCTGGCCAGAAGGTGCGCCAGTGGTATCCCAGCGAGAGTCGTCGCCCCCGCGTGAGCGACGGTCCGACATGCCCTTGCCGCTCTGGTGGCTATAATTCGCTGCACGCTCAGCAATTTATTTCTGAGGGTGCGCGATCCCCCCACTTTCTGCCACCAGATTGGCGCGCCGTACAGCATTACGGCATGGACCACCGCCACGTAGAGGCGACGGACACGTCCTCCTGCCCCGCCGAGGTTTGGTAGCAACCTCGACAGGTTGTTCGCCACCAGTTTGGCTCTTCGCACCACTTGGTCGACGTGCCCGCTGAAGCTTCTAACGCCGTCCACCCAAAGACCCAGATACTTTTGTTCGGGAGTGATCGGGATTTCTACTCCTTTGATACGAAGGCTGAGCCCCTCCGGAGGAGAAGGCTGACCCCGCTTTTTATCGAAGAACGCTGTAATTTGCGTCTTCTGCGGGATCATCTCCAGGCCCAGCCTCTCTATCGAGCGCACCACACTCGCCGCTGCCACCGTGGCCAGTCTGGTTAGCTCACGCCATCCCCCCCTCCCCGCTGACTCTAAGGTATATGTCGTCCGCATATCCCGAGAGACAGCAACCTAGGGGGAGGGGCGTCCCGAGGACCAGGTCATAGCCGATGATCCACAGGGTAGGTTCGAGGACGGACCCCTGTGGAACCCCGCATTCCACCAACCTGATCCACAGGACTCCGCCCGGTCCGTGTAAGACAGACCCCTGTCCCGGAAATAGTCTCGGACGACCATAATTAGGCAGGGGGGCACGCTCATTCTCGCGAGCGCCTCCTCTATCACCCACCAGAGGAGAGAGTTAAAGGCATTTCTCACATCGAATGAGATGCCGATAACCGACGAGAGGAGACTTAACCTAACCTTGCAACCGTTCGCCTAGCCGTGGAGCCAAGGACACCCGAGGGGCAGCAGCAGCCAAGGGAGCAGCGGACATCGATATTTCTTTAAGTTAAATACCGGATAAGCGCGTCCGAAGAGCCCATATGGCTAGCGTTCATTTTAAAATATAGCGATGCGACGAATAGGGGAACCGGGTCCTGATTGACCCCGGCAGGCAAGCCGCAGAGGAAGGACCGAACGAGACAACGAGCGGGCCTCGGCAGGAGACCCGATCGGAAGAGATAAGGACGATCGCGGCGAAAATCGAGCGAAGGGCCCGCGAGATAGCGGGGTCAAAACAATGACCCCCGCAAATGAAGGCACAGCGGTCACAGCCGGTGGCCGAGCCGCGGAATCTGCCTCAGGGGAGACCCTGACGTCAACCACCCGACCCGCAACGCGATAATACTACCAGCCGCGGAGATAGCGGGGTCAAAACAATAACCCCCGGAAGTCGGTAAACGCGATACTCCGGAGGGAAGTAGCGGACGGAGGGTCACCAGGGGAGGCGCCGGAAAAGATCCGAGGGGTCAGCGGGACCACACGGCCGCACAAACCTCGGACTCGGGAACCAGGAGAGCGGGGTCCAAGGGGCCCCATGCGTATGCGTACGAGTAATTACGAAGCTCGGATTGAGAACCGCGGGCGACACCAAACGCGAAAACATAGAAAAACTGTCATAAGAAAAGAGAAAGCGTTCAACATCTGGCGTGAAAAAGTACCGAGATGTGAATAACACCGATGGTGGGAGCAGCGATCCCGAGGTGGGGACGCCGGGAGAGCCCGGCAACTCGAGGCAGTCGCTCGGATATCGTGGTTGCGGTAACACGTATATAAAATTCGCTCATACAATACGGACTTAGCGCGTAGTTTAGTGCAGTGATATATTACAACCAAGCACTTCCGCGTACTTGCGCGTTAAACATAACTCGTATAACTATTGCGAGCGGTAATTAATTACCATTTATAACGTTCGACGAAAAGTGTCGGCGTGAAACGCATACGGCGCGACAATTTTTGTAATCAATTACGACGATCTGAAATAAATCAATCGTTTGTTAATATACGCAGTGTCAAGTTAATTTGAATTATTTACGTGCGACTTACCTTGTCCTACGGCATCGATCCATCGTTGTCCAGCGGCGTTCCAGTATGCGATAAGGCGAGGATCTGGGACAGTCAGCGGCAGTTGAGATCCATCCGGGGCGAGAA